ATATTTACAGAGAATGTATAAAGCTAGAAAACGACCTAATAAAATTAATACTATATGAACGTCCATTTAATATTAATTTATGATGTTTGATATTGATGCATTGTTAAATAGATGTTCAAAATGGTTATGGTAACCTACTCATACTTGGCTATGGCCTATTCAACAAACACTCTCAGTAGCTCTCTTCCTACGGGTTCATCTACTCATACCTGGCTACGGCTTATACAACAAACACTGTTAGTAGCTCTCTTCCTACGGGTTGACCTACTCCTACCTGGCTACGGCCTATACAACAAACACTGTTAGTAGCTCTCTTCCTACGGGTTGACCTACTCCTACCTGGCTACGGCCTATTCAACAAACACTCTTAGTAGCTCTCTTCCTACGGGTTGATTTACTCATACCTGGCTACGGCCTATTCAACAAACACTTTAGTAGCTCTTTTCCTACGGGTTGATCTACTTATACCTGGCTACGGCCTATTCGACAAACAATCTTAGTAGCTCTCTTCCTACGGGTTGATCTACTCATACTTGGCTCCGGCCTACTCAACATTCACAAAACCTATCTTAATCCTTGAGTATTCTTGGTATTAAGTAAATTATACAAAATTAAATATGCTATGTTTACATATAGCAGCTATCAGCATTATATTGGTTTTGCCAATCTTACGGAAGGTAAACCCTATCACAGTATCCTACATATTAATCGGGCTATCTCCACGGGTTGATCTCTAATGTCACAATATAGAACCGAAACGGAGCCTCTCCCATAAGTAAGTTCTGGTGTTTGAGTGATCTCGTGATTTCAGTCAAGTCTCGGGCTGTCTTCACAGTTTGATCTCTATTGTCACATTTGAGCCGAAGGGAAACCCCCATAAGTAAGCTCGTGACTGAGTGATGCTGGGACTTCAGTTTTGACTACGTGCTGTATCTACGGGTTGATCTCTTAATGTCACCTTAAAGGACCGAAAGGGGTTGCATCCAAAGTAAACTCTCGTGTCTGAGTGATCCCGGGACTTCAGTTTCGATCCTTTGCCATTGGCAAAACAACAACTTTTTTACTGGAAGCATTGTGGGGCTGGTGGAGCCATTATAATGTTGATGTACTAATGTACTTTTGATTTGGTTTGAAATTGAGAATACTCTGTACTTCCCTATCTACCCAGTGTATTATGTATCTTCAATACCCCTTTCTTTTCAGGAGGAAGAGCTATAGATAGTTCGAAAGTCTTCCACTGGTCTGGGCGTGAGGGGGGCTCGACCACTCCCCTATTTATTTATTTTTACAATTATTTTGTAATTTAATATTAAATTAACATAACTTTCTAGTCTCATGAAATATGAGTATAATTCATTAAGTATTCTTAATTCTTAAAGATTTATCAATCATCTTTATTATTTAACTCTTGTCATATACCAATTAAAGAACCTCTTGGTTATTATTATACACACATTTATTAATTTGGCCAAATGATCGAGTGTTTACTATAATGATCTAATTATATTCCCGTGTTTAGGGTTTAAAAGATCCATGACCTTTTCTTTATTTTCCAAAAAAATCCTATGGAGGGAGGGAAGGACCATTACAACACTTATGTAAGGATGCATTCTCCAGTTTAAATAAAATATGTAAAATTCGTTGTCAACAACTCTATGAAATTTTACTTAAAAAAAATCTAAAAAAATAGGAACTGATGGTTTAGGGATTAAAAATGTAGGCTAACATTTCCTTAGGAAAATATTACCTACTATATTCATGCACTAGCATCTCTCTTAGCGGCTCGTTGTGCACGTATGCTATCTTCAAGACGGCCCTCATATGCAGGTTTGTTGCAAGTTGAAGTTTCAAATTTCCGTTACCTTCATGTTACCTGTATTATTATAGTATGAAAAAATAAACTTAACTTAAAGATTTAACAATATTTAGCTATTTTATTGTAATTTTTATTGGCAACCGTTATTTAAATGATCTCATTTTTTATATCGTGAGATTTTAGAAAAAATTATAAAGCTATTTAGTGATATTGATATCATGTAATAATATGAATTTAATTCGTTAAACTAGTGATAAACGTAAAACTGTAAATGTAAAAATGAATATTTTTACTTATTCAATGGTGTCTACTAAGATTGAAAAATAAAATTTTGTCATGAAGAATGGTTTAGACTTCTTTTTATTTCGACTACACAGATGAATTTGCGGGAACAGTTCATATCGTTAATATATTTCGACACGGTTGGCCTAATTGTACATAAATATTTTTCACTTGGTGTGATTTCAAATTTTATTTTTAAGTAGTTACCTGATTACATTCGTTACATCTGAAACAGCCTCAATGTGTAATATTAACAAGTCATTACTGTTCTATTGCTGCAAAAGATCTTCTAAGACTATCCTCTTATTAGATTAAGACTATTAAAATGGTAATTAAGCGGTTTGATATAGGATTTTATTTCAAATTTTCTTAATGCTGCATTGGCTTGTTTATTATGCTAAAGTCTTCAAGTCACCGTTGTTAGATTCTAATTCTTTTACCTACTATCTATTAACAATTCCTTTCCCCTCACTAGGGGAAACGAATTGTTAATTCTTGCGAAAATTATCAATGGGCCAACTGACCTGATTCTTACCTATTATCTGTCACTGATACCTCACTAGGTCATATTGATAGCCCAGGTGGGGCTACTATTCCATTTCTACCCTTAAAAATAATCCAGAGAAATGTTGACAGAGTGACGATGTAGTGACAAAAATCGAAAAGGAAATGTTGCGTTGGTTTGACCATTTGGAAAGGATGAATGAAAGAAGAATTACGAAAGAGATTTATCGAGCAAGAATTAATGGAGATATCGGTAGAGTCCACCCTAGACGAACGTATGTCGACGAAATAGGCAACGTGCCGAAGAAGGGCCAAATTAAAAGTACCCGTAACCGGCGAGCGTATATAAAAAGATTGATGAATGTGGAAGAAGCGAAAGAGGTTTGTTCGAATCGAGCTATTTGGCGTTCCATTGTTTCTGCCTACCCTGAAGACAGGCATGACAGATATATATGTATATAAAAAATATCCACTCGATTCAACTTAGTGAATGTATGATATGAATTATAAAAATTGATGAAAACCTTTGATACTAATAATACCTAAGTTCTCTCTACTTACTTTGCAAGGGACTTGGAATGAATACAGATAATTGGATTTGAGTTAAATCATGCAAGTAACTTTTGATCCAATTCTCGTTATCAGAATTGCTTGAATGATGACAATGCAGTATTATTATGTCTAAAGCTAATCTCGCAAGCAAGGGACGGGATTTCCACCTTATAGGTTCACCGAGTTTGAACTCGATTAGTAGTTAGCTAGCAGGAGGGTCTGTCGATAATGAAGCATGAAGGTCAGGTTCCATTATCAACAAGATCTACGCTTAAAAGCTTCCTTTCAAAAAGTTTTCACCACACAATCAACTAGTTACTTTACATCAAATAGAGGTGTTTCTAATTCAAATAAATGGTCTTTTTTGTTTTTAAACGATTACTGATACTTAGGAGGAGGTGCCCAATCCAATCACTACTTTTATAAATTAAAATTTGTGAGGATGAATGAATGTTTGTTAATCTTTTACACATTGAATAAAAGGTAAATGAAATTATTTAAGTGATTTAAGTGAAATCCTGGGATATATCTATTCATTCATATACTATTATTAAAAAGTCGTAAAGAAACTGTGTTTTTTTTGTGTTAGTCTCACAAATGTGTTTTACAAAGTTAGAAAACTATTAAATATACTAACTACTAAATGATATATTAAGATAAAATATACACCAATTTTAAGTTACATTTTTAGAAACGCATCTGTAAAAATGACATCCAATTTGGTACAGTATTTTTTCCGTAATGCTTGAACAAACATGCAGACAGAAAGAAAGACAAAATTTCTAAAAATCTTACTCCACAAAATTTTCACACGAAAGGGTTTTTATAAGCAAAGCCACATGAAATAACTATAATATTATTGTTTGATTTTAAATATATTTTTTATAGAACATACATAAATTTGTTTCTATAAAATTAAAACCATATCTATACCTAATTGAAGCACTTACTTCAAAATAGATTTTAGAAACGAGGTAACACAACAATAACAACCCTTGCACAAAACGGCTATTATTTATTCATTAGGTTCTATGTAATCAAGAAAGTTCCCACTGAATGCCCCAATTTCGTCGAAAATTCACGAACGAACCCCACAGTAACCGCGAATCTGCAATTATTTAATCGTCTTCGAGGTGTAGCTTCACGGAAACTGGATTCATAACAATATCAGAAAATTTTAATGTGACACAAAATAACTTTAGTGTTTGTCGCTACTTAAACAAGTAAAATATTCAATGCAAGGTAACTATATATATCCATGGATATGGAATTATACGATAGAGTTGTCGTTTGTGAGTTTCATGGTAGAAGGTCATCGTATGGGGTGCCCCGGGCGCGATACCGGTCGGGAAGAGTGATCATCCACATCTAGTGATACCACACTAAGAATTTTTCATTTACAGAGGGAACTTTTATTGATGTTGTATAGCTATCCAAGGGTATCTACAAAAGATAAAATAAGTATTCTGTGTTAGTTACGGCCACATACGACATATAAAGACTTCAGTCAATAAGGTAACATTATTATTTTAATATTTTTATTTACAGTTTTATTTATTTTATTCAGTTCAGTTTTATATTTTTTATGGTATGTCATTTTCTAAGTTACATGCTAATGTTAAATAATTTAGATAATTATATTACCCTTAAAATACAATTAGTATTGTGTATACCTGATGACCTTAGAATTAAAGGATTTTTTCTTTATTAAAAAATGTGGTTATAAAGAAATGAAGGTTATATCAATGAGATAAGTGATTACAGTCGCGTTTAATAAGATACTCACGAGGGTGGAAATGTTTTCGTAGAAACTAGCAACCCCGCGAGCCACCGACCGGCGACCGACATTCCTGCTCAGTCTACTCTGGGGGCTTGACGGAGTAGGATTGTTTCGTCGTATCCTCACTTTCAATTAATATAATGCCCACTGTATAATACGCGAGTGAGTGTGTGTGAACCATACCAACTTAAGTGTCGGTTACACCCCTCCCCGCGAACTGTATAGTCCAGTCAAGGTCACCATTCGTCTATTTGACACCTGTTGTGTTTGTACACTGTATGTATTTAATTGTATATCTAGTTAGTAGTGAATGCATAGCAATGAATAATATTAAGTATCTAATTACATAGTATTGTATTTAATAAGTTTATAGATTAAATCAACGACAGATAATTTGACTGAACAACCTTTAAAAGTTATAAGATTGTAATAAGATACTTATACTCTGAAAACAAAAGCATTTTCAATAGTCACTACGGTCCGTGGGAAGTAAAAATATTGTTTTTTTTTTATAAGTATTAATTCAAAAACAGCCAATAATAAATATTGGTTTTGTACCTTTCTAATACCCATGGAACCCTTTATAATGCATTTTAATTTATTTTTGGTACATTTATATTTATGTTTTATTATGTGTCTTTAATACATATAAATTAATTGTTTTAAGAAAAAAAAAGTATTTAAAGAGCCGCCATATTGTATTTAGTATATGTATATGGTTGGTCGAAAGATCACGTTATACGAGTGCATAATATGCTATTTATTATTGTCACAATTGTTTATAAGATACTAGCTCTTGGACATGATTTTGCGCGTGTGTGGTATTGGATTTTTTTGCGGAAAATGACATTTCCTTCTCAGGTTTTATGAATTATAGCTGTTGCCTGCAAACTTGTCTGGATAAAGTTCGGTTATATTGCAAGCCACCATTTATTATATATATTTTTTTAGCAAAACAGTACACTATCACTACATTTTCATATAAATCAAAACACTCACTTAGAGGTAAAACTTAAAAAAAAAACGATTAAAAAATAACAAAAACCTAAAAACAAACTTTAATTTTTATAACTTTAATAATAACAGAATTCTGACTTACCTAAGAAAAAACTGACGAAATAAATAAAGGGACGTATATATATATATATATATATATATATATATATATATATATATATATATATATATATATATATATATATATATATATATATATATATAGAACATCGAGTGTTACCGTTATGGTTATTATTCTAATTTTCAATATGAAAGAGGGCGTGTCTACTGTCAACGCTCAGATTAATTTATTTTGTATTCCATCACCGGAGAGATAATTAATATAACATATTATTAATATAAAAAAAAACAAAATATAATAAAATTTCTACACATGGTATAATTATATTTTATGTTATAATTATATTGTGTCCTTGTATAACTTTGCTTTAGAAGGTCATTGTAATTTTTATAAAACTTTGTATATTGTATATATAGGAAATATACTCCTACAAATTCTTATTCGTACTTGCAGATAATTTATTGTGTTGCCCTACCCTTATCAATCTTTTGGCAGTTTATATTGGCATTATTATTACTATAACTTTCTTTCATAATGCTATTATTTGTCAGCGGACGTAATGATAATATACAGTTGTGTCCCGTATTACTTGATCCGTAATATGGTACAACTGATTTGTACATGGGGTTCTACATAAACAGGCCGTGGACTTTTCCGACACTAATGGTTACGTGACTACTTTTTCCGTTACCACAACCTCTGCCTATCTAATCTATATTTCATAAAATGCGTAATGATAAATAGCCAAAAGCTTTAACAGCGCGTATGGTCTAAAATGTCATTTTAATATAAAATTCTCAACATTTGGAAGTAGAGTTTAAAGAAAAATATTTAAAACTATGGCAGGATGGTTGTTGAACTGTAACCCTATAAACCCACTAAGCTCTAATTTTAGAGATCGACTAATTGTACCCGTGACGTGGCCTTATTAGTGTGTTAGTCAAAATCAACTACCACGGCAAGTAATAAATAGAGACACCTACTATACATCTTCACGTTAAGTCTTTTGTAGTGTAGGCAGAAAATATCAAATGCAAAAGACCTCATTCTACGCTTCTTCAGTCGTCTCATATATACATGCCAGCTCTGAAGACTTAACTCCACCCTCAGATTGAATATCTATATATAATAGTCTATCTATCTGTATATAATAGTCTTAGTCTCCCTCGGTATCTATTGCAATCCATTTTCGCATATACATTCTGCCAGGGTTAACCAAATTCTGTGCATTGTTTGCATATTCATTGTATTCTACTGTCATCCTCTTTGTTATATACACAACATTCGTTGTCATATTATAACGTGAAAATAACTATAAAGTTGTATAATTATGATTAAATGCACCTTTTGATTTAGATTGTGGTAAATAAATAGCTTCTCTATTTACCTTTTTGTTCCATTTTTTCTATATTGGCAGTATATTTTATTCATTACTGAATTTGAGATATCTGTTCTAAAAATGTTACAATAAAAATTATAAATTATCTAGTTACTAGTAATTTTCGCAAAATAAAATGTAAAGATAATTTTTTATTAAAATATGAAAATCTTATTCCAACAATAGATGGGGGATTAAAAATTTTTGAAGCGGGCAAACTTTGAACTTGCATCTTTTATTTTGGGATCTGTGCTCATACTAGTTGAACTATCACTTCAGTGTACGCCAGTTAATGTATAGACTTTTCGAACCTTAACATTTAACAGTGATTACTTTATTCATTGTTTGTGTCGATGACTTTATTGAAACATAGTTACAAGGTAATAGAATTTGGCTCATTTTAGTTTACAAAATCAATAAAGTTAGTAGATTGTTTACAAGAAAATGATTAAAAGTAAGCATTCTATGTTTCCGTCGTCTTTTGATCTTCTAGGTTTATCTTGTAAACCACTGCTCGAGGGCTGAAATCAGACGGGAACAAAGCGTTATTCAACTTCATATAAATCATTGGTAGGCTATAGATACGTAGCTATTTTATCATATGGCTTATACTTTCAAAGGATGTAGCTTATATTGAGTACGAAAAGATTTGTATTTTCCAGAAATTTATATTTACTAAACGACGTCGGCATCGTCCGTAAGGCCATTGTATTTGCAGAACAAACAAATTTTACCCTTTTATATAATACCTATAAAAGGAGAAACTACTGAGTCTACAAATATGAAATTTTGCATAGAATTTTCTTACAGATATGTACATATAACATAAGTAAGCACTAAAAATATTTTCTTTTTTACAATGTGCACATATAAAAGTATTATAATCTAAGAAAAATACTCGTTATTAATGACTGATGGAAGGACAGCGTGTATGAAAAGATTGATAAGTATGGAGGAAGCGAAAGAGGCCTGATTGAATCGAAACAATTGGCGTTTCATTGTTTCTGCCTACCCTAATGAGAGATAGGCGTGAGAGATATATATGTATGTATGGTATTTAATACATAGTGGTATTTAATCATGTCATGTTTAGTCATGAAATCAGTACGATATTATAAGATATTCCAATAAAAGAATCAATTTTATTTTTTATAGACATGTATATTAAAATTGAAATAAAAAAAATACAATTTAATATTAAAAAAGTCAGTCTTCTTATAATGACACAGCCTGCTAGTAAAGAGTATTTCAGTGTACCTACTTATTAAAGAATAAGCTATAATTATAATTACAGTTTTCTTATTTATTTCGTAGACTTAAATTAGTAATTTACCAAAAATTTTATATATAAATTCGTAAGTAAGAATAAAATGAAATAATAGAAATTAATATTTTTCAATTGGCATTTCCTGCACGGCTTGGAACGGAAGCGACGCGACGGGCTCATTCGAATAATTCAATTAAATCTTATGTTGAGCAAGCTCAGCCGCTCACAGCTGTATAGCGTTATAGGGTTGCTCATAATTATTTCAAATATATCGAGAACTCGAAGAACTATTATCGAAACCAATCGATTTAGAATAGTTCGTTATCGCGTAGGCGTTGCGACGTTGTACCCACTTCATTGGTTTTCCTTTGTTCTATGCATGAGTTATGATTTTGTAAGGGTTTGTATGCGATGCATGAATTATGATAGTTTCATTGATGTACTGAAGATGTAGACATTTTATTTATTTAATTGCAAAATGTAATAAAATTGTATTTGTTTAGTTGTATTTTCTATTTTATATGTACTTACCTAAATTATCAAGGTATTTTGTCATATGACTTTCCTTATTTCTTTTTTGCTTCATCTACGAAGTCGATTCTTTCAGGCAAAAGTTATCTAAAATAAATTACCTTTAAAGATAGGGTAATTAAGGGCTCCGGTAATATTTCTTTTGTTTTATTGCAAGTTTCAATTGTAATTCAATTACTGACCTTCTTAGATAAGTCTCGAATATTAAACTCATTCGACAGTTGTAGTATAGTATACAGATAAACCAGTAATATGTACATAATAGTTTTTTAGATTGTATTCGATATATCAATGTAATCAGGAAAGACAATTACTTTCTGTACGTACTTACCTATATATATCGATGCCAATACCTCTTTAGCTAACCGAAGAGACAATTTCCTAATGGACTGGTTAGCCACTATTTTGTTGACTTTATGAAACGTATCTACTGTAACGTGTGCTGATTTCTAGAGTTAGATAATGGTATAAATAGTATCCGGTTCTAATTTAATTCCACAGTGGACATTTCTAGATGTTGACTGCTTGTAATAAAATAATGTTACACATGTGTATTAGTAAGTTTGACCATAATACTAATAATATATGTACATGTAACACACAATATTTTTTCCTCCCGCACCCCCCGCGGTAGTCGGACGGTTTAAAATAGGCTCCGTATTTTAAATTCTTTTTTGTTGTGAAAATGTCGAAATTGTCAATATCCGATATGAAAGAAGTTGTGCCACGATGTTTACGACCTTTGAAGTTGAAAATGGACGAAATCTGTGACTCCCTGGATAAGCTACAGGCAAAAATATGTAGAATGGCTGTACCAAAAACAGTATGGTTTCAAGGTGTCTTATCCCCATATATACCCGAGTATGTTTTTGTTGGGTATGGTGGGCTATAATACACTTGAAGTGAGACGAAAACTAAATTTAATTGAATATGTGGTAAAATTAGTGCGGGGGGAAAAGTGTAACCAAACTGTACTGGAATCAATATCAATAGGAGCGCCCAGTAACTACGTACGAGCACGT